TCTTTTCACAGGACAAAGCTAAGAGGCCGATAGCCTCCTGAATCAGTAGCGTCTTATTAATGCAAAAAATTATACAAAGCCAATGTTAGCAAAGATGGCACAGTTATTCAGTGTTTAACAACGCTTTTACCAGCAACACCTAACGTATGGCGTACCCACCAAGAGAAATCAAAAGACAGAGTCGAGGAGATCGGAAGAGTGTATTTGGCGATTACCAATATATCGGAATTCTCTGATCTAATCTGGCTAGCGATTGCGGTAGATGTTGAGCACAGCGTTACCACATGTGATCTGGTGCGGATGCCTGACCGAGCGCCTTCAGCTAGATGAGTCCACTAAAACGTATGGTCAGCATCCAATGTCGAAAACTTACTGAGCTATTTATTTTGGGGATTTATTTACCGCTACAGATCACTCCCTTTCCTAGTAGGGTAGTGATGACCCTAAGACGTGGCCAGCCAGAAGTTTAAACCCAACACGTTTTGTCGTCCGTAAACACTCTTCTGATAGTTTGCTAGGTTTAGTAGCGTACAACATAGGTACAACATAGTAAAAAAAGAAAAAGTACAATGAAAATTTCGGCTCCTCGTAAACTGCATCGTTCTTTTCCAGCCGTCCTGGAAAAGAAAAAAGAAAATGTAAGTGCATGTCGAAATACACTCGTACGCGCGTAAAAACACACCGTCGGCGAAAAAAATGGAGAATAAACTCAAGCACACGTATTAGCGTTAAAAAAATTTCATGGTTTTTGTGTTTTTTTTCAAAATAAAAATATAAATATATAAACATATTAAAATTGTTGTTTTTAAAAAAAATATTATATATCGTAAAAAGAAAGATCGGGATAATATAAAATGTCCAGTAGTGCCTTACGTACAGTAGTTGTTTAAATGTTCTGGAAATTTTACTCTTCTTCCAGAACGCGTCGTTTTAGGTATATTTTCAGATACATTCGGAGTTTCATCGCTAGTGTTGGTTGTCGGTTGAGGAATTATGAGTGTAGGAGTCGTGTTGTTCGATTGTACCGAAGGAAAATCGACGTGAATAGGATTCCCTTCTAAATACGCTGCTTTTAAGCGATCCATGCTGATGCTATCGTTTGTTCCGTTCTTATCGACTATATAGTACTTAGATTCACGTTGAAGAACTTTGAAAGGTCCTTCGTACGCTGCTTCGAATGGTGGTCGATGCGAGTCTCGACGAACGAAAACGTGTGTACTATATCATAAGTCAGGTTGAACGAAAACATCAGTTGATTGAGGTCGAGTGGAAACAGGTTTAACTGAACGCATTGCGTTTGTAAGCCTGTTCGTGTAGGAGGTTAGATCCATGTTCATTGAGGAGGATGAAGGATCCGCGAATTCTCCTGGAAGTCGAAGTGTCGTTCCATAAACGAGTTGAGCCGCAGTGTATCCAATGTCAGCCTTGACTGCATTGCGAATACCTAGTAAGACGAATGGAAGAGCGTCGGTCCACTGTGAAACGTTTGCAGCTGATAGTGAGGCTTTTAGTTGTCGGTGTAAACGTTCTACCAACCTGTTTGCTTGTGGGTGGTAGGCGGTCGTTCGGAAGCGAGTGATTCCTAAAAGTGTGGTCAGACGACGGAAAAGATCAGATTCAAACTGACGTCCGCGATCTGTAGTGATGGTTGAAGGGCAACAGAAGTTTGCTACCCATCGTTCGACGAGTGCGCGGGCCACTGTTTCAGCAGTGATGTCCTTGATAGGTACTGTTTCTGGCCATCGAGTGAAACGGTCTACGTAGGTTAGGAGTATCCATTTGAATCTGGTAAAGGTCCCATCAAATCCAGATGGACATGATCAAAACGAGAGTCCGGAGTTTTGTAGAGCCTAAGGGACATTTGTTGTGCCTGATAACCTTAGATTTTGGCAGCTTATACAGGAGCGTGCCCACTCGCTCACGTTTTTATTCATGCCTGTCCAGCAAAACCGTTTTGCTATAAGCTTGATGGTTGCACGAACACCTGGATGAGAAAGTTTGTGCAATGTATTGAAGACATTGCGTCGATAATGTTTCGGCACGATTGGGCGATCCCTACCTGTAGATGTGTCACACAGTAAGGTTTCCTTACCTGTTCCCATCTGTTTGATGCGTAGTTTAAGAGTTGTGGACGATAACTCGTGCTGAAGATCAGTGTCTTCTTTTTGAAGCTCGGCGAGTTTAAGAAGGTCGATTCCTTGGAAACTGTTCAAGGAAGTTATGCGAGATAAGGCGTCTGCAACTACATTGTTTGCTCCAGAAATATGTTGAATATCTGAAGTAAACTGCGAAATGTAGTCCAGTTGTCGAGACTCACGGGGAGAGTACTTGTCAGAAGGAGAGCTTAACGAGAAAGTGAGCGGTTTATGGTCCGTGAAAAGAGTGAATTCACGGCCTTCGATATAGTGTTGGAAATGCCGTACAGCACAATACATAGCTAGGAGTTCCCTACCGAATGTGCTGTACCTCGATTCGGTGTCTAGCAACCTTCTAGAGAAAAATGCCAAGGGTTGCCAGGAGTTGTTAACCCATTGTTGTAAGACTCCTCCGATTGCCGAGTCGGATGCGTCTACTGCGATGCTAATGGGTGCTTCGGTGTCCTGATGTGCGAGCATTGTTGCTTTAGCGATCAGTTCCTTAACTGTGGAGAATGCTTTTCGTGCGGTGTCGTCCAAATTAATGGATTTCGCATTTCCACGAAGTTGGTCGGTCAGAGGTTTCATAAGTAATGCGCATTTGGGTATGAAACGTCTATAGAAACTTACCAGGCCGTTAAACGTGCGTAATTGCTTGACGGTGGTCGGTTCTGGGTAATCCAGAATGGCCGCCACTTTGGTTCTAAGGGGTCGGATACCTTGAGCATCGATAGTGTGTCCCAGAAAGTCTAACGAGTCGGTTCCGAATTGGCATTTCTGAACGTTTACAGTTATGCCATGTTTTTGTAATCGTTCGAAAACAAGATCCAGATGCTTGAGATGTGTTTCTCTGTCCGGACTTGCGATTAGACAGTCGTCAACATACGCGTGTACGAAGTTGAGACCTCGAAAAACGTCGTCTATGAATCTTTGGAATGTTTGAGCAGCGTTCCTTAGACCGAAAGGCATTCGCAAAAATTCATAGAGTCCGAAGGGAGTTATGATAGCTGTTTTCGGTATGTCGTCAGTAGCCATAGGGATTTGGTTATACGCTTTAACCAAGTCGATTTTCGAAAAGACAGTTGTACCTTTCAAGGTAGCTGTCAAATCGTGAATGTGAGGCAACGGGTAACGATCGGGAATGGTTTTCGCGTTCAATCGCCGATAGTCACCAGTTGGACGCCAATCGTTGCTGTCCTTTTTAGGGACCATGTGCAACGGAGATGCATATGGGCTACTTGACGGTCGTATGATTCCTAAGTCCATCATGTGATCGAATTCGTTTTTCGCTAACCTTAGCTTTTCAGGAGCTAGTCGTCGTGCTTTAGAAAATACAGGTGGTCCTGTAGTCGTGATGTGATGTGTAACATTGCTGGTTACACACGGTAGTTTCGGTTGAGTTTGTTGTATCCCAGGGTACTTATCGAGTAGTGGTTGATAGAGTGGGTCTATCATATGTTTAACTGTGACTGGGGATACTCTACAACCAGTAAAAGAAGTTACGCAAACGGACAAATTAGTGTTTCCGTCTACTAGCCTCCGTTTGCGAGTGTCGATGATCAGATTGTGGTGTTGTAGAAGGTCCATACCAATGATTGGCATAGAAACATCTGCAACGACGAAAATCCAGTGGATGGGTTTGCGTAAACCCACGTTAAGGTAAACGTACCTTTTGCCATACGTAGCGATCGGTTTTCCGTTTGCCGCCTGTAAGTTTAGAGTCGATTCGTGAAGTCGGTCGTTAGGATTTGCTGGGAGAACGCTAACTTCTGCGCCAGTGTCGACGAGGTAGCGAACTCTCGTTGTCACATCTGTGACGAATAACAGACGGCTTGTTCGCCGGCTACGGTTGCCGTTAACGCGTGCCGGCTTGGAAGTTTCCCGAATTGTTTTTCGAATCAGTCGGTTTCGTGTTGGGAAAATTGCAGGGTTTTCTGCAATTTCTGGAAAACTTTCCATACTGGTTATGATACCAGCACCAGTCGGGGTTATCTGTCTCTCGTGGTCTAGAGACAGATCGCTTACGAGAAATGCTTCTACGTGGTGTGCGCGATCTCTTACGGTCGGTACGAAGACTAAGATAACGCGTGAGTGTGTGACATAAGTCGGTTATGTCATTCTGAGTCGTGTGAGGCTTTTCTTTGACTGAAAATACCTCGGTAGTAGGTTTCGTAATTTCTAGAATGCGGTCGGCAGATGCAGCTAGCTCGTCTAAGGCGTTGTTCTGGAACGAGACCAGAACTGCTTGCACCTGTTGGGGAAGTTTTGACAAGAAGAGTTGTTTGAATAGACCTTCGTCGAAAGTTCTTGGGCCTATAACCTCTCTCATCCGTTGCAACATGTCCGTCGCAGAACCGTGTTGCAGGTCGATGTTATTGAAGAGTTGATCTAACCTTTGTCGATCGGTTAGGTCTCCTCGTTTAAGAATCGAGCGTTTTAAGATTTCGTAAGGATCGGAAACATCACTAGTAAACATACTAGGTGTTACGTACCTGTTGAATTCCCGCGGTAGTGCCTTGACTACTGCGAGGAATTGTGCACGTGTGTCGATCACGCCGTGCTCGTGGAAGTCGGCTTCTGCGTAGTAGAACCAGGCTTCGATATTGTGGAGCTAGAAGGGCATGATTTGGAACGAGGGTGGGGACATTGTCTTAATCTTAAATACCTTAAGAGTCTGTTCGGCCATAGGGGAATATTAAGTACGAGAATACGAAGGAAAAATATATAGATATCCTGAGACATAGGGAAAAAATATCACAATGTATAAAAATAAAAAATAAGGCTATAATATATAAAAATCCCGAAAAGGAACAGACTCACAGTTGCAATAAGGTGTAACAGATCACGTCAGTCTCACCAATGAAGATGGCACAGGTATTCAGTGTTTAACAACGCTTTTACCAGCAACACCTAATGTATGGCGTACCCACCAAGAGAAATCAAAAGACAGAGTCGAGGAGATCGGAAGAGTGTATTTGGCGATTACCAATATATCGGAATTCTCTGATCTAATCTGGCTAGCGATTGCGGTAGATGTTGAGCACAGCGTTACACACGTGATCTGGTGCGGATGCCTGACCGAGCGCCTTCAGCTAGATGAGTCCACTAAAACGTATGGTCAGCATCCAATGTCGAAAACTTACTGAGCTATTTATTTTGGGGATTTATTTACCTCTACATTAGGCTTCGAGCGTCTTATGTGTGCGGTGGGACTTAAACGGATGCACATCTTATGGAACCACCCTTTACACTCATCAAATTGCTTTTCTTCTTCAACAGGGAATAGATACTTTGGCAGTTCACATTAATAAGTACCACCAACCATCGTAATCAGACTAAGGTTTAAACACATTTTGATCACACGCGTCCAGGTTAATGAGAAAGAAGGTACCATAACACAAAGTTTAGCGAAATTTCAAACCTTGACCGAAGTGCTTGAAATTAATCTACACCAAGAATGCTTTTTGATGCAATAAGTACACAAAAGCAAAGATGGTTACAACCAGTACTAAATCACTGCCTTTTTGGAACACAGTCCTTTTCGTTGATATAATCAAAGAGAGTGTATATCTCCACAGTAATACAAATTGCAAGCAATAATATGGATCAGTTGACATTTTATCCTTACTACTGTAGACTGAAACTAAAAATTGTTGGTTTCCTTCAACATGACCTTGCGCGCAAATCAACAGTCGTAATTTTAGGATAATTATTTTGTTTATCAGTGCAAGTAAATATCAGAGTTTACGTTCATATTTAGCTTTATGTTCTCGTTGATACGCATTGTTCATCCTTATACAGATTTTTTTATACCAGCTTCAATCTCCCAAGTATGGGGAAATTTGGGGGTATTTTGGGGAAACCCAAGTCAAATGACTCTCACTAGGGCTAAGGGGAAATTTGGTGGTTTTTGGTGACATTTACCGGAGTTTATTATAGCGGCTTCCCCAAAGTTTCCCCAAAATTGGGAGCTCGGGGCTGCTGACCAAATATTGTACAATTAGGTTGATGTATTGTGTGAATATAATTAGAAATAAAGTACATAAACAGTTATGTTTCTTGTTCTACTAGATCCAAAGTTTATTACCTTGTTGGCGTTTTCACGCAGTTGATGCACAAATATTTTCTAGGATTTTGGGTTTAGTGTCAAAAAATAACTTGGAAAGGACATCTGTACTGCATCGTTTGTTGAATACTACGATTAAAGTTCTTATTTGTCTAAGTTAAGATGATATGCTTCTGTGCAGCGTGCTTGCAGCGGACTAGTTGATTGGTATCGAAATGAAGTTTGCTTACGTCGTTTCATCAAATTTTATCCAATTGATTAGATAATGTACGTTAGGTATTCGGATCTAAAACACCCTTTTAAGCCATCATTAATAGTAATCGGTATCCAACTGAAAACAATCAAGCGATATCGTTCCTATCTTGTCACTTCATTGAGATGTCTTTGTAATTGTGGTATACAGCCGTTTTACAATGTAATATATTGTGGATTCACTCCTAGCATTATAGCACTACTGCCTTTTTTAATCTCTGGTTAGCTACTAGTTCAACTAATGGTGTACATAGGGCCAAACGTAGTCGATTTGAGGCTTTATTTCAAGCCCCGTAGTTAGTAATTTTGGTTGGATATGAACATAGGGTGATTGAATACTGGGCTTCTACTTAAGGCATATTAGAAGATAGGACTTGAATCTGCTAAACCTTACTTCTAATATAAACAGATCAGCAAAATCAGTGCAATTTAACAATAACGAGTGATATTAAGGGTGACTGTGCATAAGCCATGTGAATTTTGAAAATTTCACTAACCGGCTTACGGAAGTGTTACTTGAGAGACTGTTATTAAGAGAAGGCTCACAGATTATCTGCAAGACCGGAAAATAAGGTTTTTATCCTACTAAAGATGTAAGGATGAACACTGTAGGTGGGAATACATGGCCACTTTTCTATGCACTAGTAATGGCTTGGAAAAATATTTGCATTATCTGTAATTATAAGACTAGCCATGATCTATTAGGTGGATTTAAATAGTTAACTACCTGATAAATAAATAGATGAAACTTGGGCCTTCGGATTCACAACACTGTACAGTGACTCATAGGAAGTAGAGAAATGTAAGATCTGTTGATAAAAGAGTGCGTTTTAGCCGTATTTTCAAATACGTATTGTTTACTGGGGCGGAAATGTAATGAACAACGAATAAATAAGAACAGCTTTCGTAGTTGTGCATCTATACAGAGATTAGTTGAAATTGTACTTTGATTTCGTTGTGACATTCTCGCCAGCATTTAACATTCCAGTGAAACAGCTAATATGTCCTATTGTTTTTCCAGACTTTTAACTAACCAGAAGAAAGATTACCTTTTGGGACTGAAGTATTGCCGATGTTTATTATTATCATTAAAGATGGGTGGGCATGTTAGTCGTGGTCGAGATAATCAATCACTCATTGACGAACTGGTGCAAAACGGTCTCACATTAAACCCAGAGACTGAGCGTGCTCTACGTCTAGTCGACAGAGGGGGTTACTTCAGCGAAAAAAGCCCACGAGCATACATGGATATGGCGTGGAGGTCTGGTTCTCTCCATCTTTCAGCACCCAGCATCTACATTGTAGCTCTCAAAAACCTCGATATCCAACCAGGAAATTGCTTTTTAAATGTTGGTAGTGGAACAGGATACCTTAGTACAGTCATTGGCTTGTTACTAGGTAGGTTTTTTAAGATAAACAATTGAGCTTTTTCAACCTCTAAATGAGTTTACAGAAATTAACGTATATAGGTATTCAGGCGGGTTGAATAGAACTAACAGTTTACTATGTGTGTAGGTGTCATCACCGTTATTTTTACTCTACATGAAATCTGAATTTGAGATTCAAAGTGTTTATATGTTTTGTCAGACTTTAATATTGATATGTGCCTGTTCGCTATCCTTATAGAATTTTACTGGATCTTAATCACTAGCCTAAAGCTCTTGTTTGCTATGAATGTACAGCATGATGTCATTATTCATGCTCTCCTAACTTTTTTTTTATATAGTGTGTTGACTACTGGTCAGTCTTGAGTGCTGTTAGAGGTATGAGGGCGGTTATCACTTCCCGGCTGCTCACACTGTGGGAGGGTTCTTCTGGAGGTACATGAGGTAGAAATCGGGTTAGGGGTAGTCTTAGTGACCTGAGAGGGTGACTGCAGTGCACAAGGGACAACTGCTTGAGGTCGGTCACACATGACATTTTTCGTGTTAGCTCCGTACTTGTTCGGACCGTACAACCAAAGACGGATATCCGCGGGATAAGGCGAGATGTACATTTTAGGGTCGACCTTTTCTAACCCCACCCTTTCTTGTGGGAAGGCAGCATCGCTGTTATGCTGGCTGCCTGAAGGAAACATCTTACTGCCGTCACACCCCTGTACAGTCAGCAGTACGACTTTGCCCTCGGACCTTAGGTTTGCCGCTCTTCAACCGACCTTTCTGGCATGATAAGACCTCGAGAAACGATCGTTCCAGCAAGTATAACTCGATTGGCTCATTACGATGGGCAAGCCGACCACCACGTCAAGGTAGTAGCACAATACCTTACAAGCAACGGGTGCCTGTAGAAGGTTTTCCCATAGATTAGAATCTACACAAATTGGTGTGTAACCAATTAGAAATATGTGTAGATGGGGATATTGGTCACCAATAAAACAATTCTTTAAATTTAACCTCATTAAACAAACCAATTTCGTGGAATATTACTCATAGGAATGATTTGGGATATGGAAATAACCTCTTGTTTAGTGATATTTTGATAAATACTAACCTATTTTGTTCTACAAACTGTCTACCTGTTTCCTCTTCAAATGTACCCATCCACTTATTTAGACGTACATGGATATCTATCTAGGTTTTGTCACTGAAAAAGTTTACGTTTTTCAGAATCTTCCGTATTTATGAGTGGTAAGATAAATTCATTTGAGATGGTGAAGATTTGTAGCTCAGGTGGATGATTTTGAAAAACGGTGCGTACATAGGCTCCATCCTCATCCATTTAAGGCTTCATCTAACGAAGAAGTTATTAAAATATATTGGTTACAGGTAAAAAGCATCAAAGTAACCCCTAGTGAGGGTCGGGTAGATGACACAACTGATTGACTTGAAACATTATCATACTAGGCTCGGAAGAGGAACCAATGGCAGTCGGGTCGTAATTTTCCCTGACATGTCTCATAAATTTATAACGAAGTTCCTGGGAAGGTTATAAACTGTCTCGTCTGTATTGTATTTGAACCCTCTTCCGTCATATACTGTTATTATTAAATATTTTGTTTATTTTTTCGTTTCATATATACTTTTTCCTCACCATTATATTCAGACTTTGTGTAGTACAGCCTATTTTTAATGCTGTGTTATGCTAGATTTTATAGCCTTAAATATCAAATATAAATATCGAGTTATTCACCAAAACGCAGAAACTTTATTTAAAATATTGGGTTGTCTAATGTAGGCAAAGTTCATCTTATCAGTTCATTAAAAACATAAATGTCTCCCAGAATTGGTGATCAGAAACTATGTTGAACTTGTCGTCTGTGTTTAAAAAAACTGACGAGGAAGATGAGATCACTATACGTACATCTTTTCTTTGTACTGTCGTAATTTTTCATTTAAGAGTTTACTTAGTTAATATGTATATTGTTCAGTTGGCTTACTTAACATCATAAGATGTCTGGTCGAACTACTTTACATAAGACGCTGTGTCTATGGTTGATGAACTACTGACTGACTCTCTTCCTCTGTACTTTGAGATGAATAAACCACCATTTTTGATGGTCATCAAGATTAACTCGTGCCAATAAATTTGCGTACCTAACCAGCCTGGTTTGAGAAATGATGACTGCTGTTGTAGATATGCTAATCACAGCACGTAAATGGATTTATATATGTAGTCATAATTATTTGAAGAAATTAGTTACAAAAATTCCCCAAAACATAAAAACACGTTTCATTTAAGTCATTTGTCTGCACTTTCAGTAAAATAACGACTAGTTGTAGTCTATATTCTAACTAGGTATTCCGTTTACAGAATTTAAACGTTTGTGACAATATTCGGTTTACTATTGAGTCTTTCGAATACACTCGCAACGTGGAAACTAAAGTTTTAAGATTAGAATACTAAGTAGTTTTCTGTAATCTTTTGTCGATCAATAATCTTTATGCTGTCAAGCATGAGATTAACGACTAAATCTATCTACAATTATTTTGTAAAGTAAGTTCTTTTTAAAACA